CTTCGCGTATCAACCTCAATCGCGACACTTGATGCTCTACTCACCACGCTACTGCTCGATTACTTCGTCCCACGTCTAGATCCACTACGAGTCCTGTCCTCTTCGCGTATCAAACATCCTCCTTCAAGCTCACCAGGTCTAGTATAGAGCTGCTCGTCAGCAGCTCCTCTACTGTTACTCGTCGCGTCCACACCCTGGCATTTCCATGAAGATGGTGTCGATCCACGTGGCTTTCGTGAACAGCAAGGACCAAGCCCTTGCTCTGTTCGACCCTCGCCAGCAATCCGTCGTCTGCTTGTTGCGGTTGTTCGTGGCGTTTGATCTCGGTGGACTTGCAGAAAACACTCCAGTGCCTCGTCGCCCTGCAATAGAGACTTGCATGGCGAGATGTACACCTCGAGCAAGCAAGCAAGCGACCGCTACTGCGGCTTCCCCTACTCAATCAGACGATTTCAACGTGCGGTCTCTGCACGACAAGCGGCCGATAGCCCGTTCTCGAACATCGAGACCAATCAAGCCGTGGCGGCGCACACGGACGAGACAAGACGAGAAAAACGTGCCAGCCGGTCGGCTGGACAATGCCTCGCGCGCTTGTAGTCACAGCGGACCTCGAGACACCAGCGCCTGTCACTGCTCCAGCCGGCAGCAACGAGCGCGAGCTGAAGTCGCTACTTTGGCTGCGTCCACGCACCTCTCGTGACCTCACTTTCCAACTTGCTTCCTAGCGACCAAAGTGTCTGCTAAGCATCCGCATCAACCTCAACGTCAACTCGTACTTCCACTACAACACTAAGTTCCCCTCCTCCTCCTCCTTTACCATGAGCTCCATCCGGTCTATCATTCATACCCCTCCCGCCATCTCCACCCCAAGGGAGTCAGTGTCTCCCCACGGTCGCGAACGTCCGTTCCACTGCCCCGTACCTTCGTGCCACGGTCGCTTTCAGCGAAAGTTCACGCTCCGAGAACATATGAAGACGCACACGGGCGAAAAGCCGTACCAGTGCTCCATCCTCTCGTGTAGTAAGCGGTTCAGCACGTCGGGCAACTTGGCCCGGCACCGGCGGCTCCATTTGCTCAAGAAACTCGAGTGTTCCGTTGTCGGGTGCACTCGCATCTTTACGAAAGCGGAAAAGCTCGCGCGTCACCTTCAGAACCACCTCGGCAGCGTCGCGCACGTTTGCGTCGTCGATAGTTGCAACAAAACCTTCAGTACGGCGGGGAACCTCACGCGGCATTTGCGGACGCAACATCCGCCCGGCGCTGTCGCTGCCGCGCGGGCGGCGACTTTGCCGCAACTCCGGATTGCGTCAATACGACCGGGTCAAGTACTTGCTACGGAATATGCGGCGTGGTCATCCGACGCGGCCACATCTCCTACGGCTAGTACTACTTCTGCTACCAGTGGTCGGGAGCAGAACCTGAGTGCTACGGAAGCGGCGAACGTCTCGGATCATGAGATCCTTGATGTACTACAGTGTCTCTTTGTTGACGACATGGCAGCGGCAGCTGCTGGGCAGGCAGAAGACCACTACAACCACCATCATCATCAGCAGCAGCATTATCATCACCATGAGCACCAGCCACAGGGGGGACCCTATCGACTTCAGAGTGACCAGCCTGTGCTGATTTACCTCTAACGTGTCGTATCTAGGGTCGACATGACGGGAGGGAGAGATAGAAAGAGAACGAAAGCTGTCTGAGTAGTGTATAAACAAACAACAGAGCGTGATTTTGTATCGGGTATTCTCCAAGTAGTCTTGAACGTATCCTCATAACTAGGGACTGACTCGTGTGGTCTAAAAAACGTACCAACAAGGGGGACGATCTCGGTCGAACGTGTTGCCCACCCCGTCCTCAGTAGTCAATGTAACCTATCAGTGGTACCAGCAGCAACCTTTTGTCGAGTCCGTCGCCGAGTCGACGAGGATAGTAGCAGATGGCTCATCACTGTACGTTAAAGTTGTTGGGCTTTGTGGTCCGTCTAACTTTGAAAGTACGACGCGACGAGCGCTGCGAGAAACGCGCGTGTGACACCTGATCACGAGCGTGTAGTCACCTAAGTCGCAACAGTCTGTTTGCACGTGATAGCAGAGCCAAGTACAAGCTGTTTACGTGGTCATCTTGAACACCAACTTGCTGCCTTTGGCCAGCGATGCAAATAACATCTAGCGATTGCTGATTGGAGCTGCACGGAGCAACGTGTGACTATCATCGTATGAACAAAGAAGAGGTTTGCGGTCAGGCCCCTCCCTATTCGTGAAGGTGAGGCAGTAGATGGCCCGAGGCGTAGTATCTAGTACTCGTATCACGAATCACTTCCGGCGTGATATCGTATTTCTGATAGGAAACCATGTCAGTGTTGTGCTCTCTCTGCTTTGTAGTATCCTCAATTCAATCGAGATTTGAACAATGGTTCGCTGTTTGAACGCGGGTTTCTTGACTACCTCAGGGCAATAGTGGAGTCGTGCTGAAAACCAAGCGATTCATAGCGCGTGGTATGTACTTGTGAGATAATGTAACGGGGTGAATCGTTACATAACAATTTATAAGAAATTGTTAATAGAATATAACTATAAGAGTTATATTCTCAGAATATTGTCATAAGGACAATATTCTGTAGCACTTCCAAGTAGTTCCTAATTGGTTGATATAGGCCATTATATCAACCAACGAAGACGCGCCACGACAGACGCACGCAATGAGTGGTGAGCAGATAACTGATTTACACATTTGTATTTAGACATAGTTAGATGAAGATAAATAGTGATTTATTGCAGACATTAACTATACTAAATACAGTTCTACTTTTTACTCTAACCGAGTACTCGCTTCTTCTTACCGTCTTCCTCTGCACGTACGAGTGTACGTGAAGTTACGAGGCACCGCCTTATTATGTCATCAGAATAAGTAGCTTGTACTGTCACCAGTACAAGCTTCAGGGTGCCCCGTTACACCTGGTAGCACTTCGTAGTCCGTCCAAGGACCGCGTTCACATCCAACATGAATATGTTGGATGATGAAGATGACCAAAGCTTTCACGCTACGCGTGACGGCTACTCCCATTTGAGCGATGTCGAATGGGATGCGGTTGAACGAATGGGTTCGACCATGGGCATCCATGCTGTTAGCGTCATGCTAGAGGCTCTCAATAGAGATGCCCAACATGCTACTATCGCCAAGTTCATTCAAAATGAACTTGACGCAGAACGCGAGAAAGTAGCCTTGCTTCACCAACAAGGTTCTCAACAAGCAGAGTTGTTGAGAGAACAAGGTTCTCAACAGTTTGAACTGTTGAGACAGCAGCAGGCTGCTGCTGGCGGGTCGATGCACTCGCGTCGGCCCGAGACTTTGAAGATTGACATCTCAAAGTATAGGGGGTCGAAGAAGACTCCCTCTTGAGATGGTTCGTCGAATTGGATGACGCCATAAGGGCGCGTCGCATCGACGACGGGGATATGCAAGTTGCATTTGCCCAGTCAAATCTGGCAGGACGTGCCAAGACTTGGGCACTGGGGCTCAAGCTGCACGACCCATATGCGTTTGGGTCGTTGGAAGTCTTCAAGTCGCGGCTCAGACAAACGTTTGAACCGCCTAGAGCTGAGTTCAGAGCTCGAACCGAACTCTTGAAGCTCAAGCAGGGTAAGCGTGATGTGCACGCTTACGCTCAACATATACGACATCTCACGAGTTGTATAAGTTCCAATCCGGTGGATGAACACACGTTGGTTTCGGTGTTCATGCAGGGTCTTGCGGATGGTCCCGTCAAGACTCACCTGTTCCGGCTTGAACTAGATTCACTAGAACAAGCCATTTCAATTGCGGAGCAGGAAGACTTCAGTCTGAGACAGGCTCGCGCCAGCTCGACATCATATCGTCAACCGAGACGATATGACAACGGAGGTCCAGAGCCGATGGAACTCTGTTATGTAGAGAGCGAGAAGGCTCGCTCTACAGGCTACAAGAAGTTGCAGAGATGCAACAGATGTCAAAAGACAGGACACTACGCTTACGAGTGTAGTGCCCCTCGTCCAGTGTCTCGCGACACTGGGCGTAGTGACCGTCCACCCATGAGAAAGGGGCAGGGACGAGGGTCCGCAGTTGGTGCAAAGACGCAACAACGGGATGGACCGTCAAAAAACGGACAGGATCAGTAGGTGCGGAGCACCCTACTGATCCAGCAACGTCAAGAGAATTTGTAGGCCTCTTGATGAAGGTTGCTCCCAACACACAAACGTTGTGCGTTGCTGCTCTAGGTAATGAGATCTCACTCATTACCTTGAAACTCGAAGTGACGAATAAGTTGTCCCTTCGAGCTCTAGTCGATTGTGGGGCGTCCAACAATTTTGTGCGACGCCAATCGCTAGAAGATGGTCACTTTAAATTCAGTGAATGTGACACACCTCCTACGAGGATGACGGTACGTCTTGCGACAGGCGCATCCGTAACCGTCATGAAGCGTATAGTGAATCTTCACTATACGCTAGAAGATACCCAATACGACGATGACTTTATCGTATTGGATTTGGATGACAAATTTGATGTCATCCTTGGAATACCGTGGCTCAGAAGGTACGAACCACGGGTAAACTGGCAACATCGGACAGTAACGATGCCTGCCGCTTGTTCATCAGATGGCCATCTGATGAACGTTTTGGAGCGTCCACAAGCGTGTGGATGTACTACGAGTGAGTGCGATGGCCTCACTTGTGGTACGGTCGTTAGTACGACTGCACAAAACCTTAGTGTACCAAACGGTTACACTTCGGAGCAAAGTTCCGGCGGCTGTGAGGAAACACAGGCTGCGCCGAAGGTCCACCACTCGAATGCGTCGGGTGGACTGGGACAAAGATGTATCCCTAGAGGGGAACGTCTAGAAGAGAAACAATCGATCGCTCAGGTTAAGCGAAACGATAATCCTAGATCGACTGGAGAGTCTTTCGTAGAGGATCTCGCTGTGGTTGCGCAACCCCAGCTAGAGGAAGTAAAGGGAATAAGTCCCAAGATTACAAATACGGCGGAAATAAGTTCCCCGAAACCCGCGGGAATAAGTCCCCGGGAAGACGAAGGAATAAGTCCTTCGAAGCCTGAGGGAATAAGTCCCCAGGAAATGACAGAGACATTGAATGTCATAGTCAATAACGGATCATGTGTAGGCGCTTATACACTTGATCTGATTGCGCCTCCGAAGTTAACTTCGGAGATCACTCAGTTGCCAACGCTCGAACATAAAAGATTCTTGCGTGATCTGCGTAGTGGCAAAGTCAAGCAGATCTGCATACTCGTCGCTGAAGACGAGTATGTAACCGACATAAGGTCAGCAACAGTGTTTACTGAGAACGAGAGAGTTCTCAGTAGTTCATCTATGGACGAGAGTGCCCTAGATGAAAAGACACGAATTGAGCGATATGAGTCCCAATCATGGGAATCGCTCAAGGAAAATCCTCTCTATGAAGATTTGGTTGAATTCAAGGATGTATTCCCTGAAACTGTTCCGTGCGAATTACCGAAGGATAAAGGTATTCGACACGAAGTCGAGCTTAAACCAGGCTCGAAGTACTGTGTCATGAAGCAGTGGCCACTGCCTCGTGAACAAGTACTTGCGATCGACAAGTTCTTTGCCGATCGTTTAGCAGCGGGCCATGTGAGGGAATCAACTTCCCCACATAGCTCTCCGACCTTCTGTGTGCGAAAAGCAACAGGAGGGTGGCGGATAGTGCACGCGTTTAACAAATTGAACGCTGCAACGGTACCGGCTCAGACGCCGATACCGAGGAAGGACGTAATCATTGATGGTATGTCAAAGAGTACCATCTTTTCGTCCATGGATTTGATGGATGGCTTCTATCAAATCCTAATGCGGGAACGGGATATACCCTATACCGCAGTTAGCACGCCTAGCGGCATGCTCTGGGAATGGCTAGTAATGCCACAAGGGCTCAGTAATGCCCCTGCCACGTTCAACAGGTGTGTATCACATCTGTTGAGGCCAGTACGAGAATTCGCGCCGAGTTATTTCGATGACGTATTCATCCATAGTCGAGCTATGGATGGAAAGTCGGACGTTGAGGTTCACAAGTACCACGTCCGACAAGTTCTTACAATCATGCGAAAGCATCAATTGTATGCAAACCTCAAGAAGTGTATATTTGCAGCAAGCGAAATACCACTTCTTGGGTGCATCGTTGGTAAGAACGGTGTACGTCCTGATCCCGAAAAGATCAAGGCGATCACCGACTGGCCCGTGCCGGTCGATGTCAAAGGTCTTCGAAAATTCCTTGGGCTAGCGGCGTATTTGCATAAGTATTCACGCAATTACGCCGAGATGACTGTACACCTCTCTCGTTTGTTGAAAAAGAACGAGAGGTGGTTATGGAACGCTGAATGTCAACGCTCCTTTGAGGGTATCAAGCAGAGCTTGATACAATCCCCAGTCCTAGCAATAGCCGATCAGGACAGGCCATTTCATGTGGTCTGTGATGCCAGCGATTTCGCAATCGGCTGTGCATTAATGCAGTACGACCTTGAAGGCGTTGAACGCGTCGTCTGCTATCAGTCGCGTCAGCTGCAACCAGCTGAGCGGAACTATCCAGTGCATGACAAGGAACTCCTTGCCATGAAGTATGCACTCGCGAAGTTC